GCTTGACCGGGTGGAATTTCGGGTCTAGGCTCAGCTTGTGAGTGGTGATCTCTGATGGGATCCCTGTCATGTCGAGATGGGACCAAGCAAAACAATCTATTTTAGTTGTGAGAAATTGAATGAATTTTTTCCTGAGCTCGGAGGTTAAACCCGTGCCCAGGTATACCTTCCGATCAGGTAGACGCTCGATCAATGTGACTTGCTCCAGCTCTTCGACCGTTGACTTTGTAGCATCGGAATCATTGGGTACTATAAAAGATCTGGGAACCCCGTAATCATCATCTTCGTCGGTCCCCTATCTATCTGATTGGGTCGTGGCTGGTGTCGGTAATTGCTATTTAGTTTCCGGCTTTGTGTTCGAACTTGGTCCCTTCGATGTCGTCAGTGTTGATACCGGAATCACTTCTTTGACTGCAAACATTTCTTTTGCGGCTGGTTTCTCTCCGTAGATCGAATTAATCCCCTCTGGTGTTGGGAATTTTAACACCTGGTGAAGGGTCGAGGGAACTGCCCTCATGTTGTGGATCCATGTTCTCCCAAATAGGGTGTTGTACCTCATGTCTCCTTCGATCACATAAAACTTGGTTTCTTGGATGGTTCTGGGTGCATTTACTGGTAATGTTATTTCTCCCTTAGTATTTTCACAAGCCATGTTGAATCCGTTTAGCACTCCGGCTGCAAGCACGATTTGGTCCTGTAGGCCGAGTTGTTCTACGACCCTCGATCGAATGATGTTGGCCGAGCTACCTGGATCAATTAACACACGTTTAACTCAAGATTTATTCACGAGTACAGATATTACCAGTGCATCGTTATGGGGCTGCATGATTCCCTCTGTGTCCTCGTCGTTGAAAGACAAAGTTCCCTCTGGTATGTAATCGCGAGTCCGTTTCTCCCTCGTGATGGATACTTTGGTGCGCTTTAACATCGGACCTTGAGGAACATCGACCCCTCCAATGATCATATGAATGACGTGTTGAGGCTCTACTTGCTCGGTTTGTTTATTGGAGTCCCTATTTTTGAAATGATTCTTAGCTCGGTCGCTCAAGAATTCTCAAAGATGCCCGTTGTTGAATAACCGTGCAACATACTCCCTCAATTGTCGGCAATCTTGTGTTCTGTGGCCGTGAGTGCCATGATATTTGCACATTTGGTTTGGTTCCCTTTGGGCTGGGTCAGATTGTAGAGGTTGAGGCCATTTAGTATCTTTGATGCATCCGATAGCCGATACATTAGCAGCAACATCTACGTTAAAGTTGTATTCTGAACACCTCGGTGCTTCTTTGGGTCCGATAGGCCTGTCGAAACCATTCTTGCTCATGAGTCCCCGATTGTTCTGGCCTCGGTTGTTTCTTCTTTCATTTCGTATAGAGCTCCTCCCGGACCCATTGCTTCTTCGATCCTCATTATACGGCTGATACTGATCCCTGTTTGATCTTGGTTCATGATCGATATCTCTCTTAACTCCGTCGACGGGTCTAACAGGATAAACGGACCCGGAAGGAGGCCCTAGTTGATCATCTTCGAATCTGATCTTCAATTGATATCGGTTATGCACATCAACCCAAGTGACACCCGGATATTCTATCAGATTTTGCTTCAATTACTGTGAAGCCACCGAACTTCGAACATTGAGTCCTTGGGTAAAAGCTTGAACGGCTGAATCATCAGCGACCGGTGGCAGGTCCATCCGTTCCATTTGAAATCGAGATACGAACTCTCTGAGAATTTCATTGTCTTTTTGTCTCACTTTGAAGAGGTCCGTTTCCTGGTTTTGACCTTGATATCCCCAGTGTGTGCTTTGACAAAAGAGTCTGCAAGCATAGCAAATGAGTCAATAGAATTAGGGGGTAAGTTGTGATACCATATCATGGCTCCCTTTGACAAGGTTTCTCCGAATTTCTTCAGTAACACAGACTCGATTTCATCATCCTCCAAGTCGTTTCCTTTGATGGCGCATGTGTCGAAGTGACGTGCTCGTTCGGATCAGTCGTTCCCTTGTACTTAGGTATCTCGGGCATGCAAATTTTTTTAGGGATCGGCTTTGGAGCCGCGCTCGGAGGGAAAGGCTTTTCCACAAACTTCTTGGAATATAAGCCTTTAAATATTGGAGGCGCTCCCGGTATCTGGTCGACCCTAGAATTGTAGGTTTCCACCTTTTTGTCGTTTTCTTTGATTTTCTTTTCCCCTGATTCTATTCGTTTTGTCAGCTCCTCGAGCATTTTTATGATTTCGGGGTTGTTACCCGACTCGTTCCCATTCGACCTTTCCGCGATCGGTTCCTCCCTATGAGTGATCTCACGAGACGGGTCGGGCTCGATCCTACTCGGTACGCGGCTCTGGTTTTGTAACTGAGCTATTGCCGCATGTTGAGCCTGCAACATTTCGAAGATCATTCGTAGATTGACCCTGTCTCCTTCATTATTTTGAGTATTCTGTGTCGTTGATCGGGCTCCACCACGGATGCTATTCTCGGGGTCAGTAGGGAGGCTTGTGTCGATAGCCACATGCGAATTAGCGTCTAACAGGTCCGCAATTGAAATTCCGACGGGATCAACGGGCGGTACCTCATTACCGGGCTCTATGTTTTCACCGTGGTGACTAGAATCACCGTCAGTAGGTAGAGGTGCTAATTGTGAGTTTGATGATCGTTGTCGACTCCGCACTACTAATAAGTAGCAAGAGAGGGTCGCAATAGCTTTTACCCAATTTTGGATCGGGATCGAATCCACAGAGAGCTAGAATTGGAATCGAGTATCTATCTAGTTTAGGATTGCGTATGTGTTCTTAATTACACTTCTATTCATTTTTGGGATTTTCTTTATAATTCTACTTTTAACAAACTACAAATTGTAAATTTAGCTAAGAGTTAAATTGCTACGAGTTGTTCAAATAGGTTTAAAAGGCACTAGGGTAGTGACTACCGCCTAGGTGGTCAATTGGTGGGTACTTGGTACTAAGGCACATTTGACATGTTTGGGGAGTATGTTATAACCGTTGCACGACTTTACCCACTCTACACCTCTCGGTGGTTCGAGTGATTTTGCCCGAATTGGCTTTCTCAAGACCAATTGGGTATGCAAATTTGCACAAGCAACCAGGGTTCAATTCGGGTATTACTCTCTCGAGGTTTAACCCTTTAACTGGGGCTATCAATCTCTTGAGTACGCCCCAATTCATTGTTAGACCAATTTCGGAGACTTAGGCTCTCTTTCTCAAGAAGAGCTCAAGTCAACTCAACACAAACTAGTGTTTGCAACCACTAATTCAGAAATTAACCATGAAATTGGCCAAAATAACAAACACCCATAGTCAAATTAACCCTAAAATACAAGACTCATCAATTACCCATACTAGGGTTGAGCCACAACCCTAGCTATGGGGTCTAGCTACTCATATTCAAAGAAGAAAAACAAGAAATAGATGAAGATAAACACATATTAATTAATTGCTAAGCTAAATACAAAGATTCAATGATGGAAAGTAAGTAAAAATGCCCAAAATGGCTAAGAAAAGTCGACTCACGAGCGCAGCTTACGTATTACAATATCCGATACCCTAAAAATGGAAAGAGAATCTATTTATACTAAGCTGAAAAATCTGGACAAAAATGCCCCTGCGGGGGTAGTGCGGACCGCACAAAATGGACCGCGGTCCGCACTAGGCTTTGGTCTTCAAAATTGATCTCTCTGAACTTGGGCTCCGCGGACCGCACAGAATGGACCGCGGCCGCGGAGGCTTCTAGTGCGTTCCGCACAAAGTTGACTCCGGACCGCACAGGCTCCAAACTTGAAAAATCATCCTCTCTGAATCTTGGCACCGCGGACCGCAAAGAATGGACTGCGGCCGCGTTACCTTCAGTGCGGACCGCACAAAATGGTGTGCGGCCGCACTGCCTTGAAGCCTGAAATTCAACTCTCTGAATCTCCCAGTGCGGACCGCACAAAGTGGTGTGCGGCCGCACTGGGCCTGTTCTGCCTGAGCTTGCCTTGTCTTTGGCACTTGTGCAAGTTTCACTCCTTTTGAGCCGATCTTTGACATTTTGTCACTTTGTTGATCAAACCTGCAATCAAGCACAACTTCTAAGCTTTTTGGGACTATTTTGTATGAATATTTGATCAAGGCATAAGCAAGAAGGAGTATAAAATGCGTCAAAATCCCTAGTTATCATTTGACATTTTGAGTTTAAGCCTGAAATCAAAGACACTTCAAAGAACAAGTGAAAAATAGTGTCTGTTATGGAAATTCGTGTCAAATAACCACTATTATTCTTATCCCTACGGTGGGCGCCAAACTATTTACCCTCAAAATCGGATAACAATTGAATTTATACGCGGTTTTAAGGATACGTGATATAATTTAACACAAATTGAGAAAACAGATTAATATTGAAATCAATGATAGGAAAGTCAATGCAAACCACACATGTTGAACATTGTTGGCTTTGAAGATGGGTCACCTTCGAGTCAGAAAATGCCTCAATCGATGTCAGAACAAAATAACAAGATAGTGAGAACTAGAAATAATAGTGTATTGCCTTTTGATGCGTGTTACAATGTGTATTACAAATAATCAGACCCCCTTTATATAGTAGGGGAGTCCTACTTTAGATAAAATTCTACAAAAGGTAAGAAATCTCATGATTTGCTAATTAGTCGGTCTCTTGTTGATACGTGCCGAGATTCCCGCCATGATATCCGACCGGTTACGAATATTTCGGCCTTGCATTATACGGTCCGATTCAGTGTCGGTTCCGGAGCTACGGGCTCGATGATCTTGAAGACGCATGCTCTAACTTCTTACCTTGGTTCGATATAATCCAAGGTCGATCTTCACCCCATCAAGTTTCAGCCCCGATCTGTCATGCAATAGATGAATTCGGTTTCGACTGTATACACATTCCAATTGAAAGAGGAAGGGAGAAATTGCATGTCATTCAAGTATGATTGCAGGTGGAGGATAGTCACAAATTTATACTGCGTAATTGAGTAGCTAATTTCCAAAGCAATCTTGTAACTAAAATGAACTGAGCAATAACAGATCACGTGAGGCCATGCAAGTTGCAACTAAATTGGAAATTCTCCTAGCTATTTATGAAAAAATGACTCAAACCAAACCATGTACACCCCTAGCAGGAAGCATCACATCACAGCATCACGCCAGAGTTCAGGGAATCGAGTAAAAGAGGCAGCTGGATATATACCTAAAAGGATCAAAACAAAAGAGGGAGGGAGGTGACCACAGCCAAAGCACCAGAAAGTCATGATCTAATGCCATTTGATAGATATGCACTCTTTCACAAGAACTTCATAGCACATATTATCTAATTAAACAAAATTTAATTAGCCATTCTACTCATAACCATATAACTGTGTGATGACTGACAACACTTAGTTTTTGCATCTTGGCTTTCCTCTTGTATTTATCCTTTTTTGATTTTAGGACCCGACTCCACTCTTATATTTTAGAGCTGAATTCCAGTTTTGCTTCGAGAAAACATCTTCCCAAAACCATTTCTACTTTTGGAGGTGATCACCTGAGTAGCTGATGAAGTAGACGACGATGACGAAGAAGATGATGACTCTCCTTCATTTCCATTCACAGAATGACTAGAATTCTCAAACTTTGTAGTATCTGAATTTTGTCTTGAGGTAAATGTCTCATTTACATGCAACTTCCATTCCTCTCCGCTAGCTCTAGCCACAACTGATCCTCCTCCAGAAAATCCAGGAAGATTTGCAGTGTCTATCAAGAAATCTTCTAAAGTAGCTAGTGACTGAAGCTGTTTCCCAAGAGATGCAATTGTTTTCTGGCATTCTGCAAGCTTGTCAGCAGCTACAGCTAAGTCTTCCTGCAAATAGAAAAGTTCATAATTCATAAGTTATTTCCTCTTTCTTCTTTCTTCACATGCAGAAGAAAAGTTTCAAGACTTTCCAAGAACAGAAACAGAAATCATTGAGATAAACCTTACCTGCTTTATTTTCGATTCACCATTTGAATTAGAAGCTTTCTGAAGTTCAGCTTCCTGATATTTTCTTCTTAGTTCAATTTCCAATTCGTGGCACTTAGTTTCCATATCAGATGACAAGGATCGTTCTCTTTCAACTTCTTTCTTTAAAGAATCAATGCTTGTTGACATAGTCCGCGTTTCTACTTCCATGCCAAAGAGTTGAATCTCTAGCAACTCTTTCGACTCATTCACTACATCTAGCTCTTTCTGCAGCTCTTCTATCTTGATTTGAGCTTCCTTAAGCTGCAAGTCGGACACCTTAAGAGCAGATGACAAGGATCGTTCTCTTTCAACTTCTGTCTTTAAAGAATCAATATTTGTTGACATAGTCCGTGCTTCTACTTCCATGCCAAAGAGTTGAACCTCTAGCAACTCCTTCGACTCATTCACTACATCTAGCTCCTTCTGCAGCTCTTCTATCTTGATTCGAGCTTCCTTAAGCTGCAAGTCGGACACCTTAAGAGCAGATGACAAGGATCGTTCTCTTTCAACTTCTGTCTTTAAAGAATCAACATTTGTTGACATAGTCCGTGCTTCTACTTCCATGCCAGAGAGTTGAACCTCTAGCAACTCTTTCGACTCATTCACTACATCTAGCTCCTTCTGCAGCTCTTCTATCTTGATTTGAGCTTCCTTAAGCTGCAAGTCGGATACCTTAAGGGCACCTTCGCTCTCACATAAAGCATTCTCCAGTTCAGCTTTCTCTGCTTCAATCTTCTCCAGCTTTTGTTCTAATTCGGCTACCCTTTGTGAAATGGCCTCACATTTTGCTGCCAGGGGATTCTCTTCAATTGGGAAGTCATGGGCAACAGCATCACATGTAAGCGAAGAGGCTTTATTCACAGTTTCAGATACTGCAGCAAGTCTCTCCATCTCCAAAAAATCATCCATCATGTCAATTTCCATAGAATGGGCAGCAAGAGTTTTAGGCATGGCTTTTTCATTCTTAAATTGATCGAGCTCAGCAATTAGTGCTGATGCCCATGAATCAGAGCAACTTTGTTCACGTTCACTTGTTTCCAGTTTGCGCATCATGTGGCTATCAAAGGATCTTTGGTCACTGAGTAGGGATGATTTGCGAGCCAAGGCTTGTAGTCTTCGACACTCGGCTTCAAGCTTGGTCACCTTCTTTATGCTCTCTAGCTGCTGCTTGCTAGCAGTTTCAGCTGCTTGGGCGCTCAAGTCACGCTCTATGGTCGTAATTTGCAACTCCTCTGAACAAGAACAAAGGTCAAGTTTAAGAACTGTGTTCTCCTTCTCTAGACACTCAAGCCTGACAAGAACATCAGGATCAGTAGAAACAGGAGAACCAGTTCCACTAGCCTCAGCTTGTGTCTGAAGCTCAAGTAGCTGATTTTCAAGTGCAGCTTTTGCAGACTCCCATTCTTTTTTCTTCTCTTCCAAAGCATCCTGAATTCTTTGCTCCTGCTCATCTCTCGCTTGTCTCAGCTGCCTGACACATTCCTTGAGAGCACCATTAAGATGGTTGATGCGAACATCCAACGTCAAGTTCTGCTGCACAGCTGCCTCGAGTTGCTGCTTTAGAACTGCAACCTCATTTTCTGCCTTTTCCCAACCTACCAAATATTACAAAAAGAACATGGAACTAATCAAGAGACAAAAAAACATGATTGATTGGAAGGTAAAGAAAGACGCTCAAGTTCCAGAAAACTATTTCCACATGTGATTTATGTACGGAAAAAGCACTGGAAATAGTCTAGACACTATTTCTAAGATTGCATTCAGAACTGTGGAAGAAAAGGCATGGTGGAAGATACCTGCAACAGCTTCTTCTGCTACTTTAACATGCTGCTTAACTAAGTCTTCTTTGGCACTAACATTGACTAGAGCAGCTGATAACTTTTCTATCAACTTCCTAGGACTTTCCTTTGCTTCATGATCAATAGTTGCAGCTTTTGAGGTTACTTCCGGTGACTGGTTGTCATGATCTGGAGTTTCTTTTAATGCATCCTGCTTCAAATAGCAGAGAGTTGCAAGTGTTGAAGTGAGAAATATTCAAGTCAACAAGAAGCACAGACAGGAAATAACCAGGAAAAAGAGACAAGCAGAAAACAAAACAGGACTCAAGGCGCCCGGAGCATGGCATAAATTATGATAACAGGTGACTGGTGGCAATATCAGGAAGAGGATTACTTGAGGGGGCGTACTTTTGCTTTCAAGGACTTACAGGTAACATGATTAACATTCGGTGGATTGGCTTTGACATTTCTAACTTTTGCCTACTCTATGTTTATTAACACCCATGTATAATCATTTGCCCCTTTTTGGAGTCCCTTCTGTTTTTGCATTGGAATTACTTGTCAAAAGCAGAAACATTCACTGCTAGTGTTTCAAAACTATAGTCCTTGAATCTAAGTACACCGCACCAGTCATTTATGAAAACCTCTGGCGCTTTCTCTGTACACCATCTCCTTCCAGCACTGAATAGCCTCTAACCTGTGCATTGATCTCTAGACTAGGAGTGTGGCACACAACGGCATCAAATTTGGGATGCGTCCATCATTATTATACTTAGCTAAGACAATGCAAAATGCAAATTAAGCGAAGTGCCAATCATTATATTTTTCTCTAGATAGATACTCTTCACAGATAATGAAAGATGTTTGGCTGCTTAACTATATATGGGACTGACATCATCAGCTCCGTGCTGAAGTCTTTCACACTTATATTGGATCTGAGATGCATGGCTTCAGAACTGGAATCTTTGAATACATAGCTTGAGTTGATAAAAACTTAAAATTTATACAAGTGCATAAATTTAATACATAGTACTATAACTTTTAACACTTCTTAACTATGAAAATTTGAGCAGCATATTTTGCTCAACCATTATCAGTTTGAAATCATTCATATAAAGCTTTAAGTATGTGGGTGTGAGAAATCAGCAATGTATTTTATCAAGTGTCTTACGAGGTTAGCTTCTTCAAATCAGCACGACTAATTATAAGAGTATCAAGACAACCTATGAACAATGAGAACCTCTTTTTTTTTTTTGGCTTGTACCTGCTCCTCAGAGTGTCTCTGTGAATGTGATGACAATGAACCACAACTCTCAGTTTCACCACTGCTCCTCTCAGAAGGTCTCCTTTTCCACAACCAATTCCTCTTTTCCATCTCAATAACCAAACTAAATCTCCTACAACTTCATCCCTCAATGTCCACCTGCATATAATTGACACCACTATTCAATATAAATTAAATGGCCAAACAGAAAACTTTTCTGGTAAGTGGTCCACATAACAACTGAGAAGCGAGAGGAAGCAAAACATTTTTGATTTACAACCCTTCCTAGACGAAAAAAATATTCATTTACGGCTATAGTCATTCAACAAACAAAAAGATAACTTGGCTTCACATTCTTTCAGCTTTCCTTTGAATCCACTCCACTAACAAATATGTATCTTGGACGCAAATAGAACTGAAACCAAACATAACAAAAAATATATCATCTCAACAAAGCAAAAGACCCCCATTATTCACATTATACAATAAAAAGCACTCATCCAAAAGAATCCACCAAATCTCCAAAATGACAAAACACATCCCCCCTAGGCGGAGCTACAGTTCCAAGTGTTCAATAACTATAAACTCAAAATCCTAGGTCCATATATATTATTAACAATAAGGACAGGAACATGAACGAATGACTAAAATGACATTCCTCGAGCAACAGAAAAGTGGCCAGAGCAAAACCATCTACGAATACCCAATGAAATTAGATCCAGGTTTGGTCATACAAGTAACTAATAAAAGAAACACCTGAGTGTAGACGAAGAAAATCAAATGGGAAGTTGGAACCAATACTATTAACCACTGTATATGGAACGAACAAGAGTTTGGCGTTATTAGTGGGTGTTGAGATAACAGAACTAATTAAAAGCCCAACTGAGTCAAAGATCTGTGGAATGTCAGTCAAAGTGTTTAGGTAACAATTACTCCAAATACAGAGGAAGGAACACTCTATGCATTAAAAGGAAAAAGGATTATTTTATTATTTTCGGACAGTTTTTAATATGTTTTCTCTTGGGGTTTGAAGCTAATATTTTCGAATACCGAAAAGGACCCAAGAGCGCATGTGATGCAGAATGGAAACACCGCAGAGTCTACACTTTTTTTAAGCTTTCCTTTTTTTGTTTGCTTAGGATTTGTTTATTTTGAAATTAATCTGAGATTCATTCCCGCCCTTTATAGACGAAGTGGTTTCCTGTAGAAAGGAGTATTTTAATCTATTCAGTTAAAAAAGGAGTGTAGTAATAATTTGATGCACAGAAAACCTGACGAAGGTCTGTGCCTCAACTTCTACGTTTTCTCTGTATGCTTTTTTTCGTCTTTCTCTTGGTTCCTTCAATAACAAGATCTGCTTTAGAAATATGGAGTACCATTTTTTAGCCTTCTTTTTTTAAATAAAGAGAAGGCCAAATACTGGTTTATTTCTTTTCTCTTTGCTTGTTTCTCCACAAAGGCAAGTTTGCGTCAGGTCTCACGAGCCAAGGCATTAAAAATTATTACTTCTTTCTGGTCAAATGAATTGCCCAATTGGAATAGTCATAATAGTCCTTTCTTTAGACAAGGCAGAGGATGAGCAAAGAAGGGGAAAATGGAAAGAAGTAAGTGGAGAAACCACTAAATGTACTCTTTCTTTTAATTACAGTCAAACCTCTCTGTATCAACATTGTTTACCCTAAAAATTTGATAACACTTTAAATTTATAATGAGATTTTAAGGATATGTGATTTCACCTAATACCAAACGTAAAGATAAATGATGGAAATTGATAATAACACAAAGCAAACCAGCGTTCAAATAGAGCCCTCGAGCTTGAATACCCTCGAGCGAGTTATGCAAGAACGGTTAAAATGCAACAAGTTGATAAACAAGAGAAAGAAAGAATATTGTATTGCTTTGATCAGAGTGAATGTAAGATGTGTACAAATGATGAGGACTCCTCTTTATATGGTAAAGGAGTCCTAACTATGGTATAATTCTAATTTACAGAAGTAAATCCCATGATTAGCCTAAACAATCGCCCTTGATTTGATCCGTTCCGGGATTTTCGTCGTGCTCTTCGATCGGTTACGGATATCTCGTCTTTCCGTCATTTGCGCTTCGCTCGAAGTCTGTCATAAATGGTCTCGATCGCTATTGGCCTCGATCACGACGAGCACCTCGATTCTCGAGCTTGATACTTTATCTTCGTGTTCTGACCTAATCCATTACGAGACCTACCCTCGACGTGATTCCCTGGTCTAAATTAAATGGCAAAATCAGGCAAGCCCTATTTTAACCGTATACAGATAGTTCCATCGTTTCTTGGAGTGTGATGAGAAGAAACGAACTGAGCCTTCGATTTTATACCTCGATCCGTTATGACGTCTCGCTTGTGACGCAAGCGACAAAAGAGATCGAAACGTCGCGTCTGTATGGTTCCTAAGATCATTGATGAGCGTCAGTTGGCGATTGGCCACTAGTACCTTTGAACCGTCGATGTGAATCCTTAAATAGGTCTTCTTCTCACTTCTTTAAGCTTTACTTTGAATTTTTCTTGCACTAATCTTCAAAATCCTTCTGAGTTTTTCAAGTCTTTCTACAAATCTTCAAAGTTCTTCACATCTTATCAAGCCTCTCCGTCCTTGCACAGTTTCTAGGCCTCGTTACCATCCTTTTTTCAAAACTACAAATATCATCTTTTTCTTTCCCTAAATCCATATAAAAATGGCAAAAACATTAAAAACCGTTCCTCAAAAGGAGAAAACTTCTTCATCCTGGCCGGCCGGCGATAAGACGTCGGTGGAGCCACACATCGAGGAGTGTGTTCCCGGGGTGTGTGATCTTACTTCCAATTTCAAGGTTGGAAAACCCTCGTCGGTCCTGGCCGATGTGAGCCAATGTCGAGATATAAATGCTCGATAACTGAGGGCGACCTTAAGTAGGTGAAGAAAGATTGCCATTGGGATGGAAAAGAGGTGGTGATTCCGACCCCGAAGAGGACATCACCACTTACGTGAAAGGGCTCTTAAGTGTTTACTCTTACCCTTTTACGCAGGATCCCGTCGACCCCGTTATCCTTGATTTCTGCCGCCAATACCAAATAACCCTAGGCCAGATCCATCCTTCTTTCTGGCGCACATTTTGTTTCGATTCTTCGTGAGAAAAGTCGAGGGGATGCCTTTTACCCTCGACAATCTCATTAGACTATACAGCCCCCATATCTATCGAGGCGGATTAATAAGGCCTCAACGTCGGGCCATCAAGGTGCTGTTCTCGAGCATAGATGAGGACAAGGACCGAGGATGGATGGGTCGGTTTGTCCGAGTGAGGACTTCCGACATAATTTCGGCCGAGAAGATGCCATTCCCCGAAGAATAGAACATGAAGCGTAAGTACAAACCTCGCCCTTGGCCCCTATTTACTATTTCGTTCCTTTTGCTTTTTCTCATCATTGTTACTTCCTATGATGCAGCGGTCTCTTGGGTGCCCAGTGAAATTCCGAACCTTGAGGGCTGGGTTCAAAAACTAGCATCGACTTCTTCGTATGCCGAGCGCTCGTGGCGTGATTTGGCAAGGGGCCGATGGGAGGCCAAAAATCATGGTAAGTTTCCTTTCATGCGTTTGAGGCTCTCTTCCGAAATGTCTCTTTTTTATTTCTACTTGATTTCTTTTCATATAGGTCTCGGAGACAACGCTATCCTGAGGCCCCGGTCTATGGAGGAGGAGAAGGCACCGAAGCCGGCTAAGGATAAGAAGAGGAAGAGGGTCTCACCCTCCGATACTCCAAAGCCCAAGAAGATCTAGGCTCGCAAGTCAAAGAAAGGTATTGCTGCCATGCCTACAAACGTAGTTCAGCAGCTACGAGATGAAAAAGATGAGAATGAAGATGCCGCCTTCGAGCTGGTGGCTCGAAAGAGGAGCGTCGATGTTCCAAAGGCCGTTGAGCCGGTGATGATGGAAGAGGTTCAGCCTCGGACCGAGGGGATCTCGGAAGATGGCCCGAGCAAAGTCCCTGAGGCATCAGAGGTCGAAGATACCTCTCGTCGCGATGGGCAACCGGTGGACGTACCTGAAGGGGCCAGTTCTGAGGCCCTTTAAAATGAAGAGAATGCCCCAAGTGACTCGCTTGGGGCAATAAATGTTGACGGTTCGCCGCCCCTCCCCATATTTTCCGAGGGTCAAATTCAGGAAGCCCAGGCCATGGAGACCACCAATGTAGGAATGGCCCATGAAGGGGAGGACCTTTTCCACGGTTGCTTCACGGGAGTCGAAGATACTTCCGATCTGGGTGATGCATCGAGTATCTTCGATGAGGCCCATCGACTTCTGAGTCAGGTAAGCCTTAGCTCCCTTTATCAATATCATTTTTGTCTTTATTTCCTCTTGTCTAACTTTCCTTTCTTTCTTCATAGGCCTTGAAGCTTCATCGGGAAGCGTCTTCCAAATCCCGGGCAGAGCTGAACCGGTGTGAGGCTGACCTTAAAAGGCTTACGGAGGAGAGAGATACCCTAAAAATTCTCAGTGGGCAAAGAGAAGAGGAGATCAAGGACCTCCGAGCTGAATTGGCAACAGCTCATAAAGGGCAAACCGACCTGATTGAGTAGGTACTTAAATTTTTGGAAGCTCGTTATATTAATCCAGAAACGACGAATAACACTCCAATCCTGGAGGTTCAGCAGAAGGATGAAAAGATCGAGCAGCTTCACGAGGAGGCCAAGATGAAGGAGGCGGATACTTTGGGGTAGAAACAAAACATGGACCGCCTTGCCTCGGAGAAAGAGGCTGCTCGAGCTCAACTGTCATCGGCCAAACGTCAGCTCCAAAGCATGAAGGAGGAAAATTCGGCCCGCACCAAGAAAATCGAGGAGCTCGAGGCTCGGTTGACTGCTGAGCTCGCAAAGGCCACATCTGAGGTAGAAAAAACAAAGGTTGACGCGGAGGCGGTCATGGCCATCTACCGAGCCGATGCTAAAGCTGCTCACGCTCGAGCAAAGGAAATTTCTGATGCTGCTCAGGCTCGAGCATTCTGCGTTGCCCAGCATGCCAAATGCCAGTCTCGGAGAGAGACTCTCGAGGAGATTCATGCTCGTGGCTTTGACCTTGTTGCCGATATCGAGAGTGCGAAAGTACTCGAGGCCGAAGCTAGAGCACTTCTTCCTTCTGATGACGATGACTCCGGGAGTGCGAGTGGATCTGAGAGTGGAGAAGATGAAGATGAGGCTCTCGAGGAATATTAGGCACTTAGAATTTTCTTTCCTTTTTTGTATTTTTTGTGTAAGACCCTGAGTGGTCTTTGTAAATATTTTTGCATATATGAAAGATCCTTTTTCTTTCCGATTTGTCTCTGATTTCTGTTTTGTGAAAACTCTATTTTGCTTTCGCCTTATGATAATTCTGATATACTTTATATCTTGTGAGAATTTTGACTCACTTCGTTGCCTTGCGAAAATATTGTCGAAGTCAGATTAGTATAGCTTCTATAATCGAGTGAGTACTTGCTCGAACTCGGAGTAGAAAAGACCCTTAGGTTTGAGTTGAGCGATGGTGGATCCTCGAACTCAACAATATAATGGCCCTTAGGCTCTTGAATCGGGCCGATATGGCCTTAAAAGAGTGGTTTTTTCCCTTTTCGGCTTAAAAAGTTTAATCATATAAAAATTTGTTATGCCTTAGCACGAGAAAAATCTGTACCCATTAGGATTCAGTGTTATCGAAAAACTTTGTTATGCCTTAGCATAAGTTTGTTCGCGAGTTCGAACAATTTGGTACCTCTTAAGGTTTTTGAGGGTTGTTGTTACCGAAACCCTTTGTAACTTTCCCGAGGGTAGCCTTTTCTAACCGGTTTCATAAAAATATTTGAAGGCCTGTTTGATCACGGAATTCGGACGTCTCCGAACCGTGATAGTTTGGGCCGTAACCTTTAACTTGAGATTTGCCATTTGGGCTT